ATCGACACAAACGATTTTTTACGTGGAAAAAACCACAATTGAAGAACCTTCAATTGTAATAAAAAACCACGGGCGAAACGCCACTATCAATCCACTACTGAAGAACGAAAAGATTACAAAGATACCATACAAATTACCCAACCCAGTCAATTTGTCTCTGAATCTTCTGTAACTCTTTCACCACGCCTTCGTCACGGAATTGATCCTGAAGTTGATTCCACACCACAACTTCACTTGTCGAATTAACGACTGCATAGAATCAAACGCCTTTTGGATTCTACGCTTTAATCTTCGGAATCCACCGAAGAGAACTTACTTGAAACTTAAGAAGCAACCTCCTTGATGTATGAATCTCAATGCATAAGTTCAGAACTCTCTCAAGAACATCAAGGAAAACTATGAAAAATCTCCAAAGAAAACTTTAAACACAACCCTAGTGCTTGTAGATCAGATCTAGGAAAACCTCCTTCAAAAAAACATCCTTAACAGCTTTAAATAGGAATCTGGATCCGCGATCTCCGCTCGAGCTCAACACAGCCCGCTCGAGCGGACTGACCAAAAACTGCGTGCGAACAAACTGAGATGCGCTCGAGCGTAGGAAGAGAAAGGACCCAACACAAAAATTACATTTGAATCAACATAATGTTTTGTCTCCGGATTTGACAACATAGGGACCTAACACCGCAGTTTCTTGAGGATTAGGGTAGATATTGATGTCACAAAACCCCTTCCAATAGGTTTTCACTTGAAGAGAAAGGACCCAATTACCTCGGAAGTTTCAGAGAAATTGGTGGATTACAAGTATGAAAGATTATCTGATTTCTGCTATGATTGTGGAAGGATTGGGCATGACAACCAATCCTGTAAGTTTGTGTCTTATGAGGCAGGACGACACTCGGGCTATGGTCCAAATCTCAGAACTGGGGTGGCCTCTACGCTAAGGCTACCACCGGGATACTATCACCGACTGACTGATGAGATGGAAGCAAGCTTGAGGCCGTTACTCCGATGGACTCCAGCTTCGGTAACAGTGGCTGAAAACCCAACTCCGGTGGGTGTGAAGGGGACGAGTGGGTCACAATCAGATTATCAGAATAGTACAAGGACAGACAAGGTACCGAGGCATCCTATCTTTCCACGATCGGGGCTAGAGCAGACCGTTGTGTACCACCCTGGGTTACGTGGCCTTGATGACTTGGGGAAGAAGCTTAATTCAAATTCTTCCAGAAAGGCCACCCCTCAGCCTAGGAACAATGTGTCATCAACTGATGAGGTTAGTCCTAACTTACCTCCTTTAATTATACCAAGGATTATTAGCTCAGTTAGCTCTGGTCCTCAGTTTGGTGGACCAGCCTACTTTGTTACTGAACCAACAGAGAGCCCACCAACTATTCCTAGCCCACCCTCTTGTTTTTCTCAGTGCCTTTCTCCCTTTTATGAATCTAGCCCAGCTCACAGCCTTCCCCTAGCCCAAAAAATCTATCTATTTGTGCCAAAGTCCCCACCACCCATCTCTCCCATGTTTTCAATGGGCTATCACTTAAACGAAAAAAGCTCCAGAGGATGTCCACCAGGCCCAGTTTCCATCCAAACTTCTTAAACTCACCTCTGAGACTCCAGTTGACTTTTTCCACTCTGCTACAAACCAGAAAACCCTCGCAATTCACCCACATAAAGCTAGGGTTCGCAAGGCTCCAAACAAAAAAAGGAACTCTAAATCCACTCCTGATCCCGACCTTGTTGATGTGGCTATTCATAATGAGATGACTCTCAGCTCCTTCTTGAACACCTCTCAAATTGTGGTATACCCAGCATCTCTTGAACTCCATGGGGAGGATTTCTGCTCTTATATACCCAGTACCTATCCGCCTTCTAAGACTGATGAGATATCACAAAGGGTTGTGGTGGCTTACCCAAATCAGCCACACACGTCATGTTGATGATCAGTTGGAACTGTCAGGTAATTGGGCGACCTCTGATAGTCCAGATCCTTAGAGGGTTGTGTATAACCCATCGCCCAACCGTAGTGTTTTTTATGGAAACAAAAAATAAAAGATCAGTTCTGGAGCGAATTCGCCGGAATCTCAGCTTTGCTAATAGTTGTTATGTGGATCTTGAGGGTCTTGCTGGGGGTTTGGTTTTATGGTGGACAACTGAGGTAAATCTTGATGTTCGTCTCCGAAATAAATACATAATTCGCTGCGTGATTCACGGTATAGGACAACAATGGTTAGCAACTTTCATTCATGCTCTCCTGCTGGCTAGTTTACGGGCTGAGTTCTGGAGTTCTTTTCGTCAAATGGCTCGAGAGAACAGAATACCCTGGTTATGTATTGGTGATTTCAATGAAGTGGGGTCAATCTGGGAAAAACAATAAGGATCTAGACCAAATCTATGACGAATTGGAAAGTTTCAACAACTGATTTCTGATTGCTCTCTCATGGACTTGGAGTTTAACACTATGTTTGGATTGAGTGATTTGGGGAGAAAAGAAAAGAAATGGAGTGATATGTATTTTTCTTATTTGTTTGGATAAACTAAGTAGAAAGAAATGGGAAGAAATGGAAAGAAATGGAGAGAAATTCATTTCTCTTATGAACCTCATTTTCAATCTTCCCAAAAGTGGAGAGATTGGGAGAGAAAAGAAATTACTATTTTCATAATACCTATTTTGTCCCTATAAAAATAAAAGAAATAAAATGATTGAAAATATAAAAAGGTTATTTTGGTAATATAACATAAAATAATTTCTTTTCTTTTCTCTTAATGAAACCTAACCAAACAAGAATGAGAGAAATCACAATCATTTCTTTTCTTTTATTTCTTCCTTATCCAAACAAAAAGGAGAGAAATCACAATCATTTCTTTTCTTTTCTTTTCTCTTATTACTTATGCTGTGTTTGGTTGAGGGATTTGATAAGGGATTTGGAAAGGGAAATGGAAAAAATAGGTGAAATGTAAAAAAAATATACTTACATTTCACATAGTTTCACACACCTTTTCCCTTTCCCTTTCCAAATCCCTCCCCAAATCCCCAACCAAACACAACATTAAGTAATCATTTCTTTTCTTTCCTCTACTAAGCTCCCAAACATAGTGTAAGGGTCCAACTTTCACATGGACGAATAACCAGGTAGGCTCTAATAATGTTACGGAAAGGATTGACCGTACGGCAGCTACTGTTGATTGGCGAGAGATGTTCCCTTTTACACTAGTTTTCCATGACATTTTATCGGATCGGACCACTGTCCTCTCATTCTTAACTCTTGTATCCCACCAAATCGAGTTCCGAGGCTCTTTAAGTTTGAATCTATGTGGACAAGGTCTCCAAATTGCCATACAGTTATTGCACACCATTGGCAAACACAGACATCGGGTTTCCCTATGTATCAACCGAATCGGAAATTGAAGGAAGGAAGACAAGTCCTTAAGGACTGGCGCCGAAGGGAATTTGGGAATAATAAGGATGTGCTTCGATGCTTGAAATCTAAGCTCTCTGAACTTCAATCACGCTATCCTTCGGCTACTAACATTCAAGCTCAGAGGGACATAAAAGCGCAAATTTCGAATGTTCTTCATCAAGAGGAAATGTTTTTACATCAGCGGTCAAGAGTGAATTGGCTGCGTATGGTGATAAGAACTCTTCTTTTTTCCAAGCTTCCATTATTCAGCGGAGACAGAGAAACTAATTGATTAAGATTAAGGATGATGAGGGTCGCTGGCTTTCTTCGGATCTAGATATCAACTCTCACTTGCTGACCTACTTTTCTAAGCTCTTCACTAGTGATTCTCCAAGAGACATGGGCCAAACTCTTTCAGTTGTGCAGAAGGTTATTACTGATGAGATGAATGCCTCACTAACCAGACCAGTTTCGGATGCCGAGATTAAACAAGCAATGTTTCAACTAGGCTCTTTGAAAGCTCCAGGGCCGGATGGGTATCCAGGGGTGTTCTACCATCAGTATTGGTCTATAGCGGGAAAAGATGTGGGCAAGGCAGTTCGAAGTTTTTCTTCAAATGGTCACTTGTTGAAAGAATTAAATCAAACCAATATTGTCCCTAATCCAAAAGTCCCACATCCAGAACAATTGTCTCAATTTCATCCCATTAGCCTCTGCAATTTTAGTCTTAAAATCATCACTAAGATTCTTGCCAATAGGCTTAAGCCTATTTTGAAGACTGTCACTACTCCCCAACAATCTGCGTTTGTCTCTGGCCGGCTTATTCAGGACAACATTTTGGTTGCCCACGAAGCTTTCCATCATTTGAAGCTTAAGAAAAGAGGTGGATTACATGAAATGGCAATCAAACTTGATTTTAATAAGGCTTATGATCGGGTTCAATGGGATTTTCTACAGGCCCTTCTTCTTAAGATGGGATTCAGCCCGATCTAGATTCAATGGGTTATGGAATCTGTTAGCACTGTGTCCTTCTCTGTTATGGTTAATGGGGAAAGTCGGGCTTCTTTCATTCCCTCTCGTGGGCTTCGACAAGGTGATCCTCTCCCGCCGTATTCGTTTGTCTTGATAGTGGATGTTCTTTCACTCCTTATCTCTAATCAGCTACAAGACCACAAATTGGCTAGTATGCACCTCATTAGAAATTGCCCTGCTCTTTCTCACCCTTTTTTTTTGCGGACGATGCTTTGTTATTTTCTGAGGCTTCCATTGCTGATTGTCTTGCCCTTAAGGCCACCCTCGAGGAGTATTGTATGGCTTCTGGTCAACTAATTAACTTTGACAAGTCTGGCAATATTTTCTCAACTAATACCCTTCCGCTGGTTCAACACGAAATTTGTTCTTTATTGGGTATCCCAGCTATCAGTGGCAATGCCAAGTACTTGGGATTACCATCTTTCTAGGGCAGGTCTAAGTCCGAAGCCTATGGTTTCTTGATGGAACAGGTTGTTCAAAAAATGCAAGGATGGAAACAAAACCTTCTCCCAGGCCGCCTGAGAAATCCTCATTAAATCTGTGATCCAAGCTATCCCCACATATGTTATGGCGTGTTTTGCTTTTCCGAAGAATTTTTGTGATCGCCTTAATGCATATATCAGTAACTTCTGGTGGAAGGGAAACCCAGAGGATAGAGGTATTCATTGGGCCAATTGGGCCAATTTAACTGTTGTTAAAGCTCATGGAGGGATGGGTTTCCAGGATTTTAAGGCCTTTAATACTGCTCTCCTTGCTCGCCAGGCCTGGCGACTCATTAAATTTCCTAACTCTTATTGTTCTCGAATTTTAAAGGGTGTCTATTACTCGAGCTTTGACATGCGAAGTGCGGTGAAAGGGCGAAAAGCATCATGGGCTTGGGCTAGCCTTCTCCAAGGAAGAGACCTACTCTTGAAGGGCCTTCGCTGGCAAGTTAGGAATGAAGCTTCGATTCAATTTTGAGAAGACTGTTGGATTCCTAAAAATCATAATTTTCATGTGCAAACTGGAAAGCCTCCTGAGTGTGCGCCTATGGCGGTGAGTGAAGTGATCAATCAACACCATAAGAAGTGGGACAATCACAAGCTAAAGGCTATGGTTGGTGAGCATGATTTTGCCAACATTATTTCTATTCCAATTTCTGTAGAAGATAAAACAGACTCTTTGGTTTGGCATTTCACTCCCAAAGAAAATCATGAGGTCCAAAGTGGGTACCATCTTGCGATTAATGAGCAGCGTTGTGTAATGGTACTACTGCGTCATCGTCGTCTCAACCATCTTATGAACTTTGGAAATTTATTTGGTCCCTTAACATCTAGCCCAAATTGCGTCATTTCTGGTGGCGAGTGTGCCACAATAAGTTGGCTACAAAAGAAAATCTTCATTGGCATCGATGTACGGCCTCTCAGTATTGTCCTACTTGCAATGGTGCGGTGGAGTCAATTGAACATATCTTATTTCACTGCAATTGGACACGGGCAGTCTGGTTTCGGTGCAATATTGGTCGAAAGTTTGCTGACAGTCAACCTACGTCGGCTGCTGAGTGGACACTTTCTTTGATGAAGACTTGTCTAACGGTAAAAGAAAGGCAAGACCTTGTGGGCAGAATGATTGTCATCAGCTGGTGCATTTGGAAAGCTAGGAATGATTGGGTTTTCAATGGCCACCTAGTTGTACCATCCAACACGATCGAACAAGCTAATTGTCTCTGGACTGATTTGGTCGAATTGCAAGCCCCCAACAAGCTGCTTCCTTTGCTATCTCTGTTCTCTCTACCTGGGTCCCTCTGTTGCAAGACCAGCTCAAGTTTAACTGTGATGCTAGTTTCTCTAAGGATGGCTCCAGCTCCTCTATCGCAGTAGTTTTGTGGGACTGGAAAGGTAGATTGATAGCTGGCTCTACTTCTACAATGCCATCTTCTTCTGTTTCTCAAAGTGAAGCTCGGGCCATCCGTTTGGCTTGTTTGCTGGCATCCTCTCTTAGCCTTGCAAATCTTCACGTAGAGAGCGACAACAAGTCTGTGATTGAGCTAAGTGCCACTGAACTTGATCCACCTTGGGAAAGTTTGGCCATTTTCCATGACATTCATGCTTCTGGCTCAAGACTTGGGTTACCCTATTGCTAGATTCCAAGGACTGCTAACAGAATGGCACATTGGTTAGCCTCTTGTGCTTTGAAGGGTACTTTCCCTCTTGATTGGGTTGGCAACCCACCTGTTGAGCTTCAGGCTCTTTTTGCTTCTGATTCCCCTGTGTAGCCTCTTTTGGCATTTCCTCGTTCAAAAAAAAGAAAAAGAAAAAAGGAAGCTCATTTTTCAGTCCTTCATTTCCGCTGGAAGAAGATTAGAAAGAGAGTGAATTTGAGAGCTCAGGAGTGTAGAGAGAGAAACTCACACTATGTTAGGAATTGAAGGAAAAACCAGAGGAATTGAAGAGAAATCACTTCTACTTCCTAAATTAAAGCTTAAGGTATGAAATTTATGTTCAATTTATGTGGAATCACCCCACTATACTTGAGATTAAGAGAGTTTTGGAATCATATTCACGAAATTGAAAGGTTTTAACAAGATGATGAAGAAATTGGGTTTTAAGTAGGAAATTGAGCTACATGCATATTCATGAAAGTTAATTTTTGATTTGGATTTTGAATTCTTGCATGCATGAAAGTTTTTAAGTTGCACATGAGTTCAGAAAAGTTCATGGACTACATGATTAATTTCATACTATGAAAATCAAGAGAAAAGTATTGAAAATTCTTTGCATGCATCAAAATTTAAGTTAAGCTTCGGTAAATTGATAAAATTTTGAGCAAATGATTTATGAATGGTCATGTATTGGAATTTATCAAAGCATTTTCATATTTTTAAGCCATGCATAATCCCAAGTTTTGAAATGGTTTTTGGGAGCTCAAACTTTCAGTTTTGAACCCCAGAATCCCAGATTTTTAACAGACCGCTCGAACGACAAAGTGATGGTTCGAGTGAACTTTGCGAGCTCCCAAAACTTTTACAGTCTTTACAAACCGCTCAAGAGACCAATTAGTGGCTCGAGTGAACTCACTGTATGTTTGCCAGTCGCTCAAACGACCAAAGGTTGGCTCGAGCGCTCAACCAAGTTTGGTAACGTTTACGTGTTTTTTGTTTATATTTACAAAAATTTTATAAATTGATTTTTGTTTATTTTTAAAAAATATAAACTACAAACGAGTTTGATTTGAACAAAATGTTTGAAAAATTTTAAAAACATAAACTAAAAAATATGTTTATTCAAGCCTAAAATATTTATATTTATTTTTTATTATTTATGACAATGAGATCATACACATTATAATTGGGAAAAAAAAAACTAATTGAAAAACAAAAAATAATTGGAAAAAAAATTAACTGAAAAAAAAAATTAATTGAAAAAAAAATTAATGAAAAAAAAATTATTTGGGAAATAAATTATTTGAAAAAAAAATTTGTTAGTCAAATTTTTAAATTTCTATTTAAAAATCACCGTAAAATCATTTTTGGAGTTTACATTTTTTTCCAAAATTTATAAACTGAGACAACCATTTTTAAATCAAAAAAATTATTAAACAAGTTTTATGATAGTTTTTAAATTTTTGTAAATATAAAGTAAAAACTAAAAACGAAATGATTACTAAACAGATTCCAAAAAATTTAGTAAAATATTTAATGTTTCTAACATTTTTAATTTGGTTATCGAGTAACAGATGTGTGAGCATTGATCGAGTTGGGGGATTAATCGGGATTAGCAAGACGACTCATGGAAAGATTTGGAATAAGTTTGAGGCAAGAGGAAAAGACGTATAAAGTATGGATCTCACCTCTCAAAATTCAGAAGAGATGAATTGTCCCCGGTTCATAATCTAGATTGTGTATTCGAGACCATCAAGTGCATCGAGTGTATTGATTTAATTATTTAAATTATTTATTTTATCGGATATTTCGTATATATCATTTAAAATAATAAATAATTAGGTTGATATGATAATTGTAACTTATTTAATTTATCGTATTTGTCAATAAAAAATGGACAATAATTGTGTTTTTAAAATAGATCATTTGTTTTTCTTTTTATTTATTTATTACAAAACAAAAAAATAATTATCAAATCGATTTAATTTTTTTGGTGTAGGTGATGTACATGAGTTACTTAACAAAATAAATGGTTAGATGTTGAAATGGGACCCATAGTGGGATCCATAGTCTCTGAATAATGATTTTCAATCCAAATTATGGACCGAAAAGAAACTACCTCCCAACTTAATAATCAAGAGACTTAAATTTTGAAAATCTTTTTATATAGACTTGATCTAATATGAATTTATTCTAACAAACTTGTTGAGTTCTAATTTTCCAAATTTAATTTTTTTTAAATTAAGTTTTTATTTTCATATTTTTTAATATTTTAAGTAATAAGATGCACTTAAACATAAAATATTTGCAAAAAAATATTTAAAAAATCAATAAATACATAAGAATATGAAAATATACTAAATTTTCTTTTCTTTTATTCTTGGTATTGAATGAATTTTTTAAAGATTTTTTCATAAATATTATACTTTTCAGTTGTATTTATATTAATTATACCTAAAAAATAAAAAATAAAATTTACTTATAATATTAAAAAAAATTATTAAAAATAAAAATATATGAAAAACGAAAAACTCAATTTCTAAAAAATTGGAACAAAAAAAGATAAAAATTTTCAGAAAGAGAGAGTGCAGTTTAACCTTAAAACTTATTCAATTTGAATTACATTCCTAATATTAATAACGTTTTATGGTAGACTACTACAATATAAGATATAAATCAATGTTCAAAATATGCTTCTGTACATATCCCTTAGCATGTCTCTGGTCATCTAAACGATTATAGTATTAGACGGTCGAATTTTTGGTTTGTGAGTCGACCTCAAGTTTTGTTTCGCTAATTTATTTTTAGGTACTTATGTTTAGATTATTCTTGAACAAATCATATTGATTCGATAAATATAAACACAAATTTTTAATGTATCCATCTTTAAAAAATTAATGATGTATTTTTAAAACTATATTTGTTATTTATTTTTAAAAAAATATACACACAAATACTTAAAAAGTGAACTATTCAAATCCTAAACACTTAAAATTGAACTATTCGAATCCTAAACATAGAGCTTATGGTGGCCTTCCAAAACTTGATAATCTAATCTTCAAATCAACATAATATGGGAAGAAGGTTTTAAAAATGTTCAAAATGTATTAGAGATAGTACATTTTGTTTCAATGGTCCAGATTGTGGCATCTAAAATTTGATGATTAATTTCCAGCTCAAATGCTCTCTCTCTCTCCTCTTAAATCTCATTCTACCAAATCTCTCTGCTCTCTCTCACCTCAAAATCTAAGCCAGAATCTCTCTCTCTCCTCCCTCTCGTCGAGACGCCGCCACCAACTACCACGACCACTAACCATCCCACCACCATCACCTCTTATGTAACGCCCTCAAAATCAACCCATTATATAGACATCATTGACATGCAACACTTAATGAAAACAATTTATTAAATCATTCATCAGAGTATTACTAAGTAAAAGCATTACATGTAATATCAAATTAAATGCCCTATGGGCTTACATCTTTCCAAGCCAACACTTGGACACAAACATATGAGTTCTAATTCAATTACAAATAACACCTAGGCTTGAATATTTATCAAATAAAAAAACAAATAACTAAAGATAGTCTTCAAAATCCAAATACTCTCCAAAGCTAAGTCCTTGGAGGTAGCTATCACCTGACCTGAAATAATTTCCCATAAAGGTGAGCCACACGCCCAGAGAAAGTACTAAACAAAATATAAGCATTGAATAAACTATTAGCCATTCAATAGATGCGTTAACCAAGCATAATTCAATTATAACTTTTACAATTTCTATAACACTAATGTCATAAGACAAGTTCAATTCCCATGCGA